GGTTTCAACCGCCTTCGATACGGATCCGTCCTCCGTATCAGGAGAGTATGAGACACCGAGCTCATACTCTGTGAAGACACGAGTGTCCTCATGACCAGCGCCTGCATCACCAAGTGACACGGGCTGAGTCGCTTCAGCAACCGATGAGACATCAGTTGCTGTGGTTTCTGCTTCGGCGTCCGCACAGAGACGTGCAGACGCGCACTCGGCGGCCTTGCTCGCGCATCGCATGGGCTTGTTAACCATGCGATGAAATGTTGGAAAGTGGACGCGGACCAACAAGTGCAAACCCTGTCCCAAATGATTTGGGACGAGTATCCATTCAGTCAATCAGTCACTAAAGTGACTGATGGTTAAGGGGGGGTGATGTAACGGGGTGAATCGTTACATAACAATTCATAAGAAATTGTTAATAGAATATAACTATGAGAGTTATATTCTCAGAATATTGTCATAAGGACAAATATTCTGTTGCACTTACAAGTAGTTCCTAATTGGTTGATATAGGCCATCATATCAACCAACGAAGACGCGCCACGACAGACGCACGCAATGAGTGGTGAGCAGATAACTGATTTACACATTTGTATTTAGACATAGTTAGATGAAGATAAATAGTGATTTATTGCAGACATTAACTATTATAAATGCAGTTCTACTTTTTACTTTAACCAAGTACTCGCTTCTTCTTACCGTCTTCCTCTGCACGTACGAGTGTACGTGAAGTTACGAGGCACCGCCTTATTCTGTCATCAGAATAAGTAGCTTGTACTGTCACCAGTACAAGCTTCAGGGTGCCCCGTTACAGATACGTAGCACCGCAAATCTTTAGATCTCTAACAAGCCTGTTCTCCTTCTCCATCTCTTGAAAGTTTGTCAATAATTTTTATTTTCTCTTACTATGAATAGCAGACCCTATAATTTGCTGACTGACACTATAGACAGAGACGACTAAAGATTCAACTTTGATTGCACTAGGTCATTTTTAATTGGCATAACAGGATTCCTGATAGTTTGACGTCAAATATATATTCAGTTGTGCGTTGCACCAATAGTGCATTTGCAATCTGTCTCGTGTGCTCCCAAATGGTCGAAAATGTGCTGAACAAGGGATACGAAGCGCAGAGCATCATCCAACTGGTCGGAATGGAACATACAATCCTGCTGAATAAATGATATCGTGAGCAAATAAAATCCTTTCACCTTGCCAAATAGCACAATAGCAAAATGATGATGACATGAAGCTGTTAGAGATGTGGTGACAGCAATGCTCGTGGTCGGCCTCGTCTTCTTGCATGCTCTTAAATCACCAATAAATGTCATTTAAACACAATCGATCACCTCTACAAGCTTGTGACCATAATATTTAGAAGATGTGCATACGTCAATTTAGTGTGAACGTACAAAAATACGTATCCTTTGGTTCGTGGGATAGGCAAAAGTAAGTATAAGACAGTGCATAATGATCAGAGTCATGGCATAGGAAATGTGCCTATTACAGTTCACATGTATGGACGTCGACCACACATACAATAATAATCGATATAGTGCATATTTAGACGTACATGTTGGCCCGTTTGACGGTTTCGTAGAGGGACCTTGCCACATGAACGCATGACTTGCACACTTAATCTGAAACACGTTTAGCACTTGAACATGGGAAGGCTATGTTCCAAATCTAGATTACGTGGGGTTTCACACGAGTGTTTTGAATCAGGGTGGCCCAATGGATCGCCCTGGACCATCTAGTCCAAGTCCTAGGACGGGGTCTGATCCGGACCAACGACCCTAAGTCGGAGCTTCAGGCACGGATTCGGGTTCGAGGCCGATATTTATTGGGTACGATTAAGAATTCTTTTAATTATCTGTGGGTTGTAACTGATTAGAGAAAGGCTGGTGGCCGAATAACAATTCCTTTCAGTTAAATTAAAATGAAAATGAGTGTAGAAAAAAGTGTATAATTGATTGAAATACGTTCCAAGACGTTCCACTTGATACACCATTGTACTCTTTGTCATGTGTTTGTGTACTTGATTTTTGGTAAGGGCATGAAGATACTGGTACAGGACTTACAAATAACGCTATGAAGAGTGTGTGCGAATAGCAAAACATGGGTTTGCGGATAACCAGTCTCTAATGTTGATGGCGATACCACAACTCTCGTTATGTCAAATATTTGATGACTCTCCGTCCAGTCATCAACGGAGTAAATCGCAATACCGGCACCAACCGAATGCAAACATTGCATAACCAGCAACAGTCACAAAATCAGCATCAACATAGTGATGGAGTGAATGTGTACAACGCTTGCTTCGAGGTCAGTGAATGATGAATTTGAAATTATAGGTGCCAAGGGTAAATTTGACGTAGGCTAAATACTAATTTTGCCTTACGATGTCTGACGAAAGGACACCAAACAAATTAGGCTCGGTACATAGTGCCACTGAACTGCTGCAATTTCTGCTGCTCATTATGACAAAAAAGTCGCTGCGAAGAATTGTTACCTGGGTGGTGTGTACGATCCACTAGTGGTGTTGCCATTTGCCACGACTTCAAGCTCCGTGACTGACACACTTCCGAATGAAACCCGCAAGCGAGGATCCATTTTCATGTTACTAAGCTAAAGCTGCAGCTCATATCTCATAGTAACATCGATCGATGCAAACGATGGTTAAGACATTGCATAAAAAGGAGTTCGTGTACATTACATAGTCAAACGCCACTCGATACCTGTTGTTGTCCAAGACTGAATAAAACTCTGAAAGCTCGATTTTTCCAATAATACAATGCTCATACGCCGGCGGCGACATCGAAACGGTCATACTTGGCTGCTAATCGCAACGCGGTACGTGATGTGTGATTCCAAATACATCTTCCACGGCCCTTCGAACGTTCTCACACGACAATCGAAGCGTCTCGTTGTGGCGGGTAATGTGGACGACCGTAGCATTTTCACCCATTATACGAATAAAATAGTCGAAACGAGCAAATACACATAACATAACGTCCTTGTTTTACACACTTGTCGGTCATTTAAAGTAGGAACGGTACCGATAGCTTAGCACACCAGTAAAGTCTCATAAATGTGTTACCTTCGGCTTCGATATGTTTGAATCAAATAAATCATAATTTTAAATTTCAGTTCATTCACGAATGCCGCACAGTCACATGTTAAGGCCAACAGTAAATTTTATCACAGTCAGCCGGTTGTTGGCTCACCGTCATTTTTAGTACTTCGTCCCCTCCTGAACTTCCTTTCACATATACCGCGACCGCGTGAGAGGCCTGCCCGAGAAACCCCCAAAGAGTTCGAGGTTAAGCAAGGGACGATCTATTTTGAAGTTAGGTGCCCTCGAGAGCGGAGGGAGGGCGGACCGTCTTATGTGACTTCTGCAGATGTTGACGAATGAAAGGATGAAGATACACTGAGAATTCGTGTGGTACTCATTAATTTTTTCAAGAATTAGTGCTGGATTTGCGACTGGTGCTGGTTTTGCAACGTTTATATTCGGTTGGTGCCGGTATTGCGATTTACTTTTGTGAACGTGTGACGCACTTAGCACGTATGGTACGAGTTCTATGATCACAATCGACAAGGTGCGAAATTACCGATATCACTTTTGATGGGACCCATCGAAAATCTCTCAGTTTCACATCGACTGGAAATGGATGTTTGTGACCAAAGTTTAAATTGGGCGCCTACGCCCACCCACCTCCATAATTTTCATGGTCGTGGGTGCGACCAATAATTTGTCGGTGGGCGTTGGTGCGACGTCGCAAGCTTATATTGTTTAGCACCCTGATTTAAAATAACTTGATTTGTTACGGTGTAAAAGGCTTATTTGTACATTACAAATCTGGTGATAAACTGGGCAAAAGAATTTGAGTGGGCGTGGGTGGGTGCGCTGGATCTAATTTAATGAATGGATTAGCATGGGTGGGTGGGCTCTGTCCACCCACGCTTAAGAATTTTAGCCGATGGATGGGTGCGGTAAGCTCTGATTTGGAACTCTGATTGTCTTCCCGTTACACCGTGGAAACAATTTATCAAATTTAGAATAGGTACCAATGGGTCATATTCCGGATAAACCCCGACCCGTGACCCGGAACAGCCGGGTGAAACACCGGGTCGAGCACAATGTTGGCCTTCGCCGAAGAGGACCGAGGATGGTCGGTCGTCAGACTACTAAATGCACACACTGTCGCAAAAATAGTAACAGCCGATGTGTACCCCAGCAACGCGTTAGACCTGAATGCTTACAACAAAGCTAGCTGAGTCTGACAGCAGGGCACTGAAATACTTCCAATAATGACTGGAGACGATGTGTGTTTTTCGTGGCTGGCTCTTACAGCGGTCTACACTATCTACGGTCAACTGCTCACTTGCTCTTTCAGTGATGTACACATTCAGCATTTTACTGCTGAAGGCCGCATACATTTTAACCCACGTTTCGTCCAAACATTGGTCGTAATGGCAGTACAGCTTAGCGCGAGAAACAGCAGCTGACCATTCAGCTGGAAATGAAGTCGTGTCCAATGCTTCGCGGTTCTAACTTGCATTCTCTGACACGGTTGCTTGCATACCGACCCTACCACCTACTCCGAACCTTTATTTCTCTTGGCATCAAAGACGACAATACCCTCTTGCTACAGCTTTTCGACAGCAACGGCATCATGATGAAGTCCTGCAGACAACGTCGAGGTGGTAGTAGATGGCCAGTCCCTACATAACGTCGAGGTGGAAGTAGATGGCTGGTCTCTACATGATCTAGACTATGGTCTTTGTAAGCGAGTACACAAAGAGTCGGCAGACTCAATCACAAGTAGCGAACGAGCCAAGCACCACAAATGAAGACACTTCCAACCAGTTTTCAAAAGCACATCGTTGAAATGGCATATCAACAGGAACATGAGAGCGGCTAGTCCTTCACATAGATACCGACGTCAGAGAAGATCCCGAACCGCTCGCCAATCGCCAAACCTTACATTCCTCACTCTATCTAGAACTCCTCCGACCGAGGTTTTGCCAAAGCAGGACGCGGCGCGGGTGCTGGTGCCGAAGGCACCGACTTCGAGCTACTTGGTGGCGATTTACGCGGCGATGTCGCTGGCTTCGACGGAGCCGGCGACGCAGCACGTACCGGGCTCGGTGACGGAGCGCGCGCTGGGCTCGGTGACGGAGCACGCGCTGGGCTCGGTGATGGAGCGCGCGCTGGGTTTGGTGACGGAGTGCGAGCCTTCGGGGTCGGCTGCTCATCGCCGTTCGCATAACTGCCGCTCTCCGAGCCTGGACTATGGCGGCCAGGAACGCCACCCTTACCCGTACTGCGAATAGCCTTGGCCTCTTCCTGGTCAATGAAGCGAATGCTGTTGAGCACGTACTCCTTGTCCGTCTTCATTTTCTTCAAGTTCGCGTTCACCGCATCCTCCTCGCTCACAGCCGCGTCGATCGTCACGCTGATCTCCTTCAGCAGCTTAATGTCGATCTCCGAGATGTTCTTCTTGAACTTAAGAAGCTCCACAATCCACTGCTCTGACGGGTGCACTGCATCAGCAAGCTTGGCCTCGTTGTTGCTGCCCTTGTGACCCGTAGATGAGCCGTTCTGACGAGCCATCTTCTTCTGAATACTCTTGAGCGCAGGAATGCGCTCGAGAGTGTCTTCGTCCCAGTTAATCTCCCTGCCCTTCACCTTCAGGTTCTCGATCTCCTTACGCTCCTTGCGGCTCGAGTCAAGCCACTTCTCCATGCGCTTAATGTCGCGCTCAATGACAAACTTCAGCCAGTCGAATACATCACGCACCTCCTTCATCTCTTGGTCCACCTTAAAACGCTTCGCAAACTCAGCGCACGCCTTTCGGTCGTAGTAGTTGCGGTTCTTAATAAGCTTCTTTGCGGCCTCAAGCTCGGCCTCACGCGGCAGAATCGGCTTCTCACGGTCAGCGCGACGGCTCTTGACCTTGCCCAACTCGACAGGGTACTTCATGTGCTCGGCCTGCATCTGCTTGTAGCTGTCAATCAGAGCACGCGCACGCTGCTCGATCAGATCAGCCTCTGAGCGACGCACATGCGACTCCTTCGCAAGCGAAGTCTTCTCAGTCGCGCACAAAGCACTCTCCTCACTGTCCATGCGCTCCATGAAAGCGTTGATCGAGTCGATCTCACCCTCAAGCTGCGACGAAGCGTGCTGCAAGCTCTCCTCCTCCTCCAAAAGACGGTTCGTCAGCATCTCAAACGCCTCAGCCAGCTGTTGCAGAAGACTACGGATTTGCGACGTCATCATCATGTCCTCGTCCTTCTCCTGTGGCTTCGAAACGCTGTACACTTCTTCGACTTTGGCCCAGACCTGACGCTTTTCCACCTTCTCGCTTGCGTAATCGCGACTCATAGCGAGCTCCTTCACGACGTTTTTAATGTCCAATTCATCATCCTTCTGTAGACGTGAAGACTCCTTCAAGTCCTCAGTACGCTCATTGCGGCCTGCTTCAAGAATCTTCATGTCCTTCTTGCCAAGGTCGGCAGCGTGACCAGTGACGTACTGGTACCAGTTCTCCGACGACTTCAGCATCTCCACCTTGTGCTCGCCATTCAAGATACGCTGCTTCTGGCGCATAATACGCTCCTCCTGGTCGATCACACGATGCGTGAAATGCTGCACCAGCTTCTGCAGATCAGCAGCACGGACGGCCTGCTTGACAAGACGGTTCGCCTCAACCTTTTTGCGGCTCGAGTGGCCGTGCAAAGCATCGAGCACCCAATTGCCAGCGTTGTTCATCAACTCAGTAATTTGGCGCTTCTTCTCCTCGCGCTTGGCTTCCTCGTCCGCCAAAAGTTTCGTCTCCGTTTCTATCAGCTTGTCAAACTGGTCGATCATTTTCTCTTCTTGCGTGGCGTTCTTCACCTCCTCCTCCAGGCTCTTAATGTGCTGGTTCATGCGTTCCAACAAAGACGCGCAAAGCTTGTTTTCAGTCTCAAGCTGAACAGCCTGGTCATCCAACTCCTTCTGGAACTGCGCGCGGCGGCGGCGGACGTCGTTCATAAACTCGTCACGCTCGTCCACCTCGACATCGCCACCCTCCTGCGGGATGCGCTTGTTGCTGTCCTTCACAGCGTGTAGCTCGCTCGCACGAACCTTCATGTCGGCCTCCAGACGAGCAACGTACTCGGGCGTGATGACCAGAGCATTGCGGGCTTCATCCAGAGTATTTTTACAATCCTCACAGTGCTCATCAAACAGCATGCAGTCTGCCTTGCGCTCCTCGGTGAGAGCAGCGCGCTTGAACAGCAGCATACGCTGCGACTTGATCTGGCGGGCCAGCTGGTCACTGAAGACATCCGTCCGCTTCGTGCCACGAGTAATACGTGCAGTATGTTCATCCAAACGGAGCTTAGTGGTGTTAATGCGCTGAGTTTGCACGACGCGCCACTCCTGCTCGTACTCTTCATCGAGAGCTTGGTGGCGCGAGCGGCGCTGAGCAATTGAGCGTGTGCGGGCATTGATCTCCGTCTTGAGTGCCAGAAGGTCAGCCTCAATGGTTTTCACCTTCTTCTGCCGAGCCTCAGCCTCCAGACGCACGTACTCGTGCTCCTGTTTGTAGCGAGTGTCCTCATCCCGACACATTTCGTCTTCACGCTTCATGTTCGCACGGCTGCTCGTCCAGTGCTCACGTTCCTTGGCAAGCTTCATCCACTCCCCATCGACGAGATTCCCTTCTTCCTCCAAGAGCTCCGGTTCCTTCTCCTGAATCTTGACAAACTGCGTGTGCAGGTCAACAAGCTCGCGTGGCACCTTGTTCTTTTGGTCCTGCGACGAGTGGAAAATACCGTACGAATGCACGATAAAGTCGTTGGCAATATCCTTCGACACAGCGGGGTTGTGAGCCTCCGACCAGTCAGCACGGTGCTTCGACCACTGAGCCATGTCGTTGTTCCATTGTGTCGTGTCTTGCTGGAAGCTGTCTTTCGACTTGGTGAACTCGACCTTCTCCTTGATCCGCGTCTCTTCCTCCGTGTTACGCACCGACTGATCACGCACAACGTCAAAGAACAGAATGTGCGTGGTGCTCGACTGCTTCTCATAGCGCTCCTTCTCACGCTCCATACGCTCCGTCTGTGTCTCCTTGCGCGCTTCGAGCGCTTTGAAACGAAAGACAGCCTGATCACGACGTATGTTCTGCGCGGCGTCACGCTTCTTCTGCTCCTCTGCACGAGCAGCTTGCTGCGCGAGACGCATCTTTTGCTTCTTCTGGCGATCGATCAGACCGTTCACCTTCGTACGAATCTGCGCCTTCTCGAGCTCGAGACGCAACGACTTGATCAGCGTATTGTACTCGTCCGTGTCGTACATGGACTTGTTCCCGCTCTTCTGGAGCTGACGCAACTGGTCCGTCGGCAAGGCCAAGAACGCCTTCAAACAATCCGCATCACGCAACAGCGGGTGCAGCATGCAACCGTACAAGAAAGTCTGCAACACTTTCTCCCGCTCACCACGCGACGTGCGCTTGTCAGGAAAGTTCGGCAGCGCTTTCGGGTTCGAGAAGTCCCCGAGCTTGACAAACAGCCACTCAAAGTCAGCCATGCTGCGCTCTTCCAGGATCTGATACTCGTGCGTGACTGCTCGGTCCGACTCGGTCACCGTGTAATTCGCAGCGCGAGCTGCAGCTTCATTTGGCTCACAGTACGTCTTCAACATGTACGTCTCCGTGTCCGGCGTGTTCCCATTCGACTTGGCAGCAATGTCCACCAAAATGTCGAGCTTCGTCAAGTACTCAAAGCCAGCAGGTGGTTTCGACACCGGATCCATCACGGGCTTGATGAACTTGGGCGGGTTCTCATTACACGACGTACAATGCCGCACGGGTACAGGGAACCCGAGCTCCGGAATCGGCTTGGACTCGACACTACACTGCGTACAGACGCTCCTCGTACAGCGCCGACAGTGGTGCTGCCGTCGTCCGAGCTTGAACGGGCGGAAACACACCTGACACTCGGTTTGGTCGCTCCGTGCCGTGTCCGAGACAAAGTGACTCGTGGCGTCGTTACTCAAGACACTCGACTCGCGCGAGCGTCCCGACTCGTCGCGACTCCGGGCGTTCGGGTCCTGCAAGTTCCGGTACGCGTCATTGATCTTCTCGAGCGTCTCTTGGTCCTCCACCTTGGTCGGGTCCATCAGTCTCGACTTCTTCTTGTACTGCGCGGCAATTTCCTCCGGCGTCGCGTCCTTGGACACGCCAAGCACGTCGTAACTCTCTTGGCCGGACGTGGGCCGCGTCACGGGTCCACGACGCTGGGCGAACACGTCTGCAGGAGTCGTAATGGCCTTCATCTGCAACGCCGTGATGCAATTGCGACAGCAGCGCTGCTGCGCGTTGCCGTAGCCAAAGGACGCCGGCACTTGGATCTTGTGGTTCACACAGGGCCGACAGAAGAGCAGCCCGCAGACGCGGCAATGGTGGCGACGGGGTTTCGGGAACCCGAACGTCGCTTTGCAGTCCATGCATTCATTGCTAAAGTTATCAGGCACCCAGAGCTTCTCTAGACCGGCAACGTCGGACGGGACGCCGTCCAGCGACCCGCGGCCGCTGTGTTCGTTCATCCGGCCTTCGCTGGGGGCGCGCGAGGCCATGGACGACGACGACGACTGGGCGGCCGGCAGCGGTCGACGCTGAGAGGCCGACAGCGACACGGACGGAGGCATGGGCGATGCGTGTGCGGCGGTCGCGTTCGTGCTGGACGAGGCCATGGAGGGGGCGCTGCTGGGCAGGGGACGACTGACGGTCACGGCGGGGGTCGGCGTTGGTCTTGGCTCGGGGTCCGGTTTTTTAGCTGCGGTTGGAACCGGAGCAGGCGCTGGAACGGTCGGTTTAGGAGGCACCACAGCTGCGGGTTTCGGCTCGGACGCTTTGGTGGCTGGAGCGGGAGCTGGCAGAGGTGGAGCTGGAAGAGGTGGAGGCGACGTTGCGGCTGGAGTGGCGGTGTCGGCGGCTGGCGTCGGGACGGCTGGCAGCTTGCGCTGCGAGAGGGAGAAACTGACTTTGGTGCCGCAGTAGATGCAAAAGGCGTCGGCTTCCGACACGTCGCGGCCGCACTTGACGCACGCGAGGTCGATGGTAGCGGTAGCTGGAGCTGCCGCTTTCTCGGAACTTCCTGCCATCTACACTCGAGTCAGTCAGTCGGTCGGGCGCTGGGTGGCGAGAGACTGACGGGAGCGCGAGATTCAGCAAGTGGAGTTGTGAGAAAGCCACGACAGGAGGGAGGGAGGAGACGAAGGGAGGAAGGAGGAGGGGAGAGGGGAGAGGGGAGGGACGGACGGACGATCCTACCGTCTCTATGTGGTTTGCTTTGCTCTGCTTTGGTTACTGCTGGCTCGGGTGCGAGAGAGAGGTCGAGCGACGGAGCGACCGAGCGACGGAGCGACCGAGCGACGACAATGATGTGAGGGTAGACGGCCTGCCTGCTGTTGAGGCGCAGCTCACTCACTCACGCACGCACGTCCGTTGGCAGATCGTCACGTTGTCGAGGCATCTGCCCAGGCTTTGGTCCAGAGAGCGAAGTCGACGGCTGGAGCCAGTCAGCAGGTGTGCCGCCCACTCACGTACGTACAGTTGGACCTTATGAAGCGTATAAGAAGTAGGAGGGCAGTAGGCAGAAGTCGCACGACGTTCTTGGCATTGCGGTCGAGATGGTCGCAGCCGTTTCGTGCTTGTCATTTATGCTGCAAGCTGCTTTCGTTCCTGTTGGTCAAGTCGAGCGCGACTGGGACTGCAGCGAACGTTCCGATGGTAATGTATCAGCAGATGACGAGGAAACGAACGGATGAATACGATTGTAATAGTCATGGCGACAGCGATGAGGTTCGAGTGCGTTGGGATCGCTGATGCAGGAGGAGAAAAAGCGGTCGGTCAACTTGTGCGCCATCGACGCCGATGGCTACGGTCGCTTGTGCTTCCAGCCGCGCTTTTTTACAACGTGACACAGGCACGAAGATGACACATTTGCCGAGCGAAAGGCGCGACATCGTCCAAAAGACAAGGCTAGAGCCAGGACTATGATCTGGGAGAGCCGGAAGCGTGTGCTAACACTTCAACGGCCAGCCGCTCACTCTGGTCCGTGACTCAGTTCACCAACCACCATCATCATCATCATGATGGCCCCCTTGAGGTTACACTCACGCGATCCTTTCGCTACGAAAGCATTGGGAAACGAATACTTCAGGGTTCTTAACGTAGTAAAGTGTCGCGTGTTGCGGTCATCCGAAGCACGTGTAGAAAGAGAGCTGTACACAAGCGCCGGCTATGCGCTCCGAACGCCCTGTCGGGGACGTTGCGTTGGACGACACTACGTGAGGTTGGAAAGAGAGCCCGACACGCCGGTAGTTCTCTGGTGCCGCGATAGGCTCCGCGTTACTCACGGCGTGACATCGATCAGTGTGCGAGCATCTCGCGTATTTGTGCACTGTCAGTCTCTATGAGACGTCTGTGAGAGGCCACGGGATCGAGTAGCGACTGCAACGCACGCATACTTTTTATTTAAATCGCCGTCATATTTGTACTTTTATGTGTCGTCCGTTAGTCCTTTCGTTAATGCATGCAATGACGGATTTTCGACCGAACGTAACGTGGGCGTCCAGCTCGACAAAACCTACCACGCTCGTCCTGTCTGCTCGAGCGGCTGGCAGCCCCTCGTCGCGACGATCGAACGGTCGTAGACCTAATTGTCACCCTCGTGTGGACCAAGTGCTCGTCAGCTCTTGTTGAAGTTGATGGCATACACGCGCGACTTGCCTCACGGAGTCGGGCGCGCTCATTCTTACGGTTTTTAATGAGCAAATGTCGTCGTGTGACACGACGCGTGTTGATCTCATTTCTGCTCCCTGGAGATCATCAATCATTTCGTGTACGTGATTGCAGTGAGGACAGGGCTAGCGACGACTGACAAGAATAACGACGCGTTCGACGGATCCGTTTTTTTTCCAGCGCATTTTACAATACGCCACCTAAAACTCATGTCATCTGCCTACTCCAAGCACCTGCACAGGTATTGGTAAGATGATACTGTCTTGCTAATGCTAGTACATGCAAATGATGCGAGCCATACACGCTTGCAATGCACTATGTACTCTCGTCACGTTGTCCTGGTCACATCAGGCGATGCTGAGACCGAACCCGTGCAGCATCAAGTACAAAACGTGTGGACAGGCGAGCTTGACGTCGAACGACGTGGAAGCGGCTTGGTGTGCAGGCTTATCACAGCGTACGTCCCCCGTCTCCAAGATCTTACGCTAGTATGACGAACGCAACGGACGCCGGGTGGTCGAGCTTAGCGATGTCCAGACTCGTGCTGCTGGTTCGTGCGATCGTTTTGACACAGAAGAATATCCAAGAAGTACTGATCGCCGTAGGGAAGATACTATGATTGTCTTGGCGACTTGGAGCTTTGTAGATCACGCTTGTGGCCTGCGTCGGTCAGGCTGCACCGAATAGCCGCATCGACCAACGCAATCGTCTACTCGTCGTTGAAAGGAGTAATAGTGCACTAACTTGAGATATCGTGACTAGAACTTGACTGCTACTCTTCAGCACCGAAGGTGAGGAAGGTACGCTGTCCATGAATTGCGTCAGACATGCTACGCGAGAGCGCTACGATTCTGCTGATGGCAGGCATGAAAGTTAATTTGGCGACCTTGAAACACAGTCGTACCACAACTTGCTGCAGACGCGACTGCAACATTGTTGCAAAGGACCAGACTTAGCAAACACATAACCCCGTTGTCGTTATCCAGTGCCGCAGACCCTCGACGTGCTATCGTACCACATTGATCACACGTCTAGGTTTACAGAGAATAAACTGGTGAAAAGCGAAAATAACGACCGACGCCATTCTCCATTGTAATGTCACTCACAGACAGACCGGTTTGAAGAGTTGCGGTTGCTCGACCGCTATGTTGCGCAAGGCCCACTTGCTGATTCTCCGCGCAACATTCGTCTTGATGCAACATTAATTTTGCATAACTTCACGCCGTCCACCAACATGAGTCTGATGCTGCGGGGGACTCAACGCACAGCGTCGACCTTGCGCCGCTGTCACGTGCCACTCCGTGCTACTTTGTCCACGTCTGCAAACTCGTCAGAAGTAGTTCCGTCTACTGCCTCAAGGCCCAAGCCCAAGAAGATACTGTCGTTGCAGGCGTCTCCAGCGCAGAACCTGCGCAACGCTTTGGACGCTCTGGACGAGATGATTGAGGAAGCAGATCGCAAGGTCGTGAAGAAGTACCGGCCAAATATGTTTGCAGAGTTCAAGCAACTTAACGACACGGAAGGGAAGGTGCTAGAAGGTGCTGAGGCTCTTGTTGAAGTAAGCAAGGCAACGAATGTTCCGTCGCTCTTGGCGAAAACTCTGGAAGGCAAGAAAGTGGATATACAGAGCTTGGTGCAGAGAGGAAAAGTGACGCTCGTACTTACATCGTTCAAGAACTATGGTCTGAACATGCTACCAGTGTGGCGGGACGGATTTGTCGCTGCTTTGAGCAATCGGCAGGGCCAATTGGACGAACGGGTGCAAACCGTGACGCTTAATGTGATTGAAGAATGGTACATGAACGTCGTGAGTGGCAGTATTGTTAGGGGATTACAGGAGAAGATACCGAAGGAGCTGCATGCGATGACGCTCGCGTATTTCGGCCGCTGTGATGACTTTCGGACGTCTATGGCGTTGGACAACAGTTTTGTGGGCTACGCACACCTTGTGGATGCGAAAGGACGTATGCGATGGATGTAGGTGGATGACGATTGTGGTTTTGAGACGACCGGTTGTACACTAATGTGATATCGATACTTTTTGCTTTGTATGACTAGTGCTGGAGGACCAGCTACGCCAAAGGAGTTGGAGCGATTAACTAAAGTGACGAAGGAATTGCTAGCACAAAGCTCACCGAGTCGTCGTCGATAGGTTGACTAAATCCCTCGCTTGAGACCGTTTTTGCACGATCATATTGTGATGAATATCAGAGTTGGAAATTCATGCCAAGTACAATGTAATGACGAACGTCTAGCGCAAGCAGCTGTAATCTGCTACGAGATCTCAGGACATCGTTCGGCGTCATGAGTCGATGGACTCGTTGATTTTGCTGCAGAGAATGTTGTCAAAGACAATTCAAGCACATGAGAAAACAGGCGCCCAAACGTGACCGCTTAGAACGCTCGGCAAAGTGTTAACTGCAATTCCAGCAGATTAGATTAGGAAAACTAAACATGTGTGCGGTATGCTCAGCTGCTGCATTGTTTTACAGTTTGTTTGCTCATTGCTGAGAGTGATACCGACCCCAGTGGCCGAGTGGTAGACCACTGGAACTGGGACCGGGAGGTATCTGGATCGATATTTGCTGAGTTCGATTACAGGGCGCCGGAGATAGGCGATATAGTAGACGAGCAAACACGCAGAAGTGGCCGCCCTGCCAACCTACGCAAGGCGTGTGATATTTTGGTGGGCTGGAGGCCCTACTGGCCGAAAAGTTCCATAGTGTAATGAGGGGTGCAGGTCCTGTAAGGAGTTCAAACTGAGTCGGAGTACTCGCAGTTCACCCCAGGGTAATCTGAAGGACCGCGCGGCATAAATCTCTCATTGCTGCGGGTGACGCTAATAGTGCGGGTAACTTTGAATGCACCTACGTTTATTGCTAAATACACCTACAAGATTTATAGGCTATCCATTTCACTTGAATAAATTACTGCACGAATGCCGGGAGAGCATCCGCAATTTAGCAAGAGAACAGCCATATTAGCAAGAGAACGTCCACTATTCAGTCAGGCCTCTCTTTCCTCCTCCGAGATTTTCCCGTCTGCATGACTATGAGCCATCATGTCTTTACCTCTGGCGGTGCAGCTCACGATGTTGAGCTTTCAGATGCTCATGTGTCGGTCTCCTTTTTCTGGTTTTAATACTGCTAGTAATGTAGCTGCATACACCGATGATGACACTACTCATGCTGTCAATTCTTATGCCCCGGCTCCAACACGGAGTGGAGGAGTTGTGAAGACCCCTCCTGGTTGGGCCGTTCGAAAGTCAAGAGGAACTTGTCCGTGAAGCAGTTAGCTTTGCACCAAGGTTTCTCGGTTAGCTTTTTCCACACACGATAGTGCGGCATCAAGCGCGTTT